TATGGTTGATAATTAAGACTGAGCTAGCAAATAAGAAGTCCTAGTCATTGTCCAGCAGCACTGTAACTAATATAAGACTGTGTGTTATTTGGGGGCTCTAAAGCGGTGGCAGATGGTAGAAAGTTATCGTTATACCATCTACTATTTTCAATATTACATACAGTGCAGTGAATGTAACCAGGCGCATTCCTGTAGTTGGATTTTTCTGTCCTTCCTACCAGCTCCCAAATAACCACATGGAGACTTCTTAAAAAAATCAGCCAGTAGCTTAGGCTTGTTCCTAACTAGTTCTTACAACTTAAATTAGCCCATATCTTTTCATCTATGCTCTTTCATGTGTCCCAGTTACCTTTATCATGTACTCCCCATGCTGCTTCCTCTCCTTCTGGCTGGTGACTCAGTCTTTCTTTTCCCAGCATCCTCTGTGTCTGGCTGGCCAGCCTATACATCCTGCCTAGCAAATGAACATTTAGCTTTTTATTAAACCAATAAGAAGGGGGCTATGCAAAGACACATCTTCACAGTGAACAAAAAAGGTTATTCCACAACACATTCCCTTCAGAATTCTGCCATGGTTCTGCTCAAGGCATACTTCTCATACATACTTTTGGGAAGTGACTGGTGGAATGTAATCAATCAATCTGCTTCCCTTTCAGATTTGGATCAATGCATCAAGTGCCCTGAATATCAGTATCCAAATGAGCAGCAAAATCAGTGTCTCCCTAAAATTATGACGTTGCCCATGAAGATGCTCTAGGAGTTGTTTTGGTCTCTCTGGCCATTAGTTTATCTGCCTTCTCAGCCCTGATTTTAGGGTTATTTATCTGCTATCGGGACACACCCATTGTCAGAGCAAATAACAGAAATCTCGGTTACGTTCTGCTCATTTCTCTAATGTTCTGTTTCTCTTGCTCATTGATATTCATTGGCCAACCTAGAACAGTCACCTGTGTCTTGAGATACGTGATTTTTGGGGTTGTATTTTCTGTTGCCGTCTCTGCTATCTTAGCAAAAACCTTCACTGTGGTTGTGACCTTCAAAGCCATCAAGCCAGGGAGCAAGTTACAAATGTGGATGGTGACTCAACTCTCCAACGCTGTAGTCTGCAGTGGTTCCCTCATCCCAGTGTGCATCTGTGCAGTCTGGCTGGGAACATATCCTCCTTTTCCTGACATTGACATACAGTCAGAGTTTGGGCAATCATCCTGAGGTGTAACGAGGGCTCCACCCTGGCCTTCTACTGTGTCCTGGGGTACTTGGGCTTTCTGGCAGTTCTCAGCTTGTTTATTGCTTTTCTGGCCAGGAGGCTACCAGATAGCTTCAATGAGGCAAAAACAATTACGTTCAGCATGCTGGTCTTCTGCAGTGTGTGGATTTCTTTCATACCTGCTTACCTGAGCTCCAAAGGCAAAACCATGGTGGCTGTGGAAATTCTTTCAATCCTGGCCTCCAGCGCTGGTTTATTGGCCTGTATATGTCTTCCCAAGTGCTATGTGATCCTACTAAGGTCACATGACCAGTCAAGAAAAAAGTTCTTTAAAAAACTTCCTTCTTAAGGCAAAGGAATTTCTTGTAGAACTCAAGATGCCAAAGAGTGGTGTGAAGTCAATGCATTTTATTAAACAGTGATGGCACCTGTCTCTGTCAACCTTGGAGACAGCAAGTCACAATGAACAAAGCCACCAGGGGGTTAGATAGTTGCCAACTAGCCATGACTTTTGATGTGTCATTTAAATCACAATTTTCTCATTTTTCAACATAATGTAACAGGACTGGGAAGGATCAGGTCTATGTGGAAAAGGTAACAGATGTTTTAAAATGTGCTTCTTTTCTCTTAGTCTTATGCAGGATGACTCCTTATATTCAATTCATATGAATTTTTAAAGTAATTAGGAGTTCTGGTGTAGAAAGCTCAGGGTCTCTGCTTCTCCCTTCTGAAGGGTGTCACAAACAAGACAACATAGAGTGTAGGTTTCAGAGCCTCGGTTGTGTTTTGTGCTCTTGCCCATGCTCAGGTGAAATGACATGGATGGAAACTTAGGCAGAGTCTCCGGGGAAACAGAGGTGGATCGTACACTGAGGCTGTCTAACACAACACTGGATAGATAGTCTACTGGAAGAGGAAACAGCCTTCATGAGTACTGTTTCTGGATGGAGTTGAGAATTTCATGTTGTATTTCGCATTTTCACCTACGGAAAGCTGATATTATTTGCATTCATTGACTTCTGTTTTCAAGGAGGGAATGTGTCTGAAGGTAGATGTGGAATAAGAGATGAGGCTTAAGGCCAGTGATTTAAAAGGAGACAGAGAATTGTGGAATCATGCATCCTGGAACATGTAGATTTTCAGGTATTTGCTTTTATCTAGCCAAGAAATTCCTTTAAACGTGATTGCCAGATCATGCAAAGGGCAAACTCAAGTTGGAGCTTGCAACAGTGGAAGGAGTCTCCACTTGTGAGTGGCAGCCATGATTTAAAAAACAATAGATGCTCAGAAATTGTTACATGATCAAAATGGGTGTCTATGTTTTAGAACAAGACTTGCTTATGTGTCATTCACAAGAGAGTATTTGTACCATGTAATATTGGACACAGTACCACTAAGAGCAAGAAGCGTTTGAGGTATTCTCAGTCTATTTTGAATTTCAATTAAAAAAAATCTTCTATCATATTCAACTGAGTTGCTTCTGTTTGGTCCTAAGAATAGCAGAAACCATGGGCAGGTGGTGGAGGAGGAAGGGAGGGAGAAGGGAACTGGGATCGTCATGTTGTTCAATCTTGTTTGTAATTCAAATATATAAAAAATAAATATAAAAAAATAAAAAAGAATAGCAGAGACGATTCCAATGTAATCTGCTTTGATATGAATAAAAGAAAGTTTGATCAAAATGTATTACTTGATGTATTACTTGTGTTGAAAAGTGTCTGAAACTACACCTTCATGGGGAATTCCCACTTTAAGGAGGAAAACCCTCCACTCTGCAAAGCTAAAAGTCAGACTGGTGCAAGCTAGTGGAAAGAAATCCGTTTGCTAGAGCTGCTTTCTCTTACAGCCAAATGCCATCATGCTGCAAGCCAAGCACAACCCTGACCAAAGGGATACAATGCTTCAGAGGAAGTTCTAGATGGACGGCAGGAGTTTTAGATCCTGGTTGGAGCTTATCCAAATGATTAAGTAGCTGCTCATAAAATATATGTGGCTAACTAAATGCTCAGACATCCAAGTGTGTTGTAAATGGGCGCACTGTGGCGATCACTGCATGGCTAGAGAAGAATATCTATTACTTAACAATCCCTCAAAAACTGTACAAATGTATTACTTGATTGGGACTTATAAATAGATTTGGGAATAATGTCATAAACTCTTTAAAAACTTCATTATATAAGCAATCTTTTTGAACCATTTTGCTTAGACTAGTTGAAGTCATCTGTTTCCCTTATTAGAGCATGTTCCTATCATCACAGTTCTCCAAAGGGAAGTCCCATTGCCACCTTTGTGCTAATTTCCTTGTCCTGTCTTGAATATAGTTTTCTATTTCAAAATTATACATTGTGAAACTTTGTCACTTTTACATAAACATGACGTGCTGTATGTATTCTGTGACTTGCTGCCTTTCCTGAGCCTGCTTTAGGAACTTATGCATGAAGTGGTCTGTTTATAACATAGCCATATTTAGTCTTTTCCATTGCTAAATATTGAATCTTGCTATGTAAAATTACATCAATAAGCACCGAATTCTCTTCATGATAGATACTGGAAAACTTTTCTGATTTTCCTATTGCAAATAAAGTTTCTTCATTTCTTGGGTCTGTCTACTGATGTATATACTTATGGATTATCTAGAATTTCAATTTATAAGCATTCTTGTAGCAAGGAATATTGATTTGTCAGAAACTACTAGGTTATTTTCTAAATTACATTTGAATAATTGGGGCCTCAATACTGTGTCTAAAAGTTATAATCTATACAAAGTACTTAGTCATTGTCATGCTTTTAACTTTGTCCCATTGAGATTATGAAATGCTATTTCATTTTGTTTTAACTTACAATGACATGATGAATAATCAGATTGCCATCTATACTTTCTCTTGGAAATTCTACAATTTCACAACAGTATAAACATAGGTTTCTTTTTTTATCTTGTCTAGGATTTTCTTTGCTTCCTCATTATATAGACAAATGTTTTCTATTTCAGGACTGTTCTCTGGCAGCATTTGTCAATATTTTGTCTCTCTGCTATACCACAGGATGTAATAGTGAGTAATACTACTCAATTGGTAATGTTTCTTAAATTCTATTTTATATTTTATTGGAGACAAAACGCATACGATTATCTCTATAAATAACTTCAGCATCCAAGTCTCTTAAAACAATTCCTAATAAAAGTGTTTTGTAAAACATAAATTGGTCATTTGAGAAGTCAGTGTCTAACTTAGTGGGAAATCCCACGAAACTCACTTGGAGGTCAAGTACAAGGTTCTGTGCTCTGTATTTCCATTGCTGCTTATCACCAAGTTAGAGAAAGGAGTCAATGCATCTTTCCTATTTTTAAAACATCGTCCTGTAAGTATATACTCTCTGTTGAACATATTCTTCCCCAACTCCCCCCTCCACCCCTCCCATTTTTTATTTCCATTCTATTAGTTCTCCTGGCCATATTTGATTCTACTTTCATATCTTATGTATGTACAGATTTTTGATGTCTACATAAAATCTAGGAAACACAGATGAGAGAAAACTTACAATATGTGTTTTTCTGAGACTATCTTAATTAGCGTTTCTACTGCTGTGAAGAAACACCATGACCACAGCAACTCTTACGAAGGAAAAAAAAAACATTTAATTGGGGTAGTTTACATTTTCAGATGTTTAGTCTGCTATACCCCCAAAATCCAACAAGGAGACCAAAATCCATATGGAAAAGCAAAGAGCTTTTATTCAAGTTTCAACTTGGACTCTCTGTCTGTCCAAAACATTGGCATGATCAGAGAACCTCAGGCTCAGCTGGGGGGGGGGGGACTTTTATCATAACAGAGGTTGGGGTGAGGGATTTCTAAGGTTCAGGACCCCTGATTGATTGGCATTTGTCTAGGGATGTCTTGGTGAAAGGGGATGGCTATGTACTGGGCCAAGGGACATCTGGTGGCCCAATCTACAATGATTAGAATGTTAGGTATTTTCCCCTTGGTCTGTTCCTGGGTGGTCACAGTGTTGTGACCTGGAGTCAGGTGTTGCTTTAGAGTGAACTGAAATTTCAGATCTACTTTCCGGTTGGTCTCTATTGAACCTGCCATGACAGGTATGTACTAAGTTGCCCTGGGCCCTACAAGTCCATTATCATCATGATGCAACATGGTGGTGTGCAGGCAGACATGGTGCTGGAGACGCAGCCAAGTGTCCTACATCTTGACTTGAAGGTAAGAGGAAGTGGTCTGTCTCACTGGGCCGGGTTTGAGCATATGTGGGGCCTCAAAACCTAACTCCACAGTGACACGCTTCCTCCAACAAGTGTTACAGAATAATCTTTTTGTACACTGTGCAGATGTGTCTTTGACAAGGCAACTTCTGATTGGTTTAATAAAAAGCTAAATGGCTATTATCTAGGCATTATCTAGGTGGGAGAGCCAGAGAAAGCTCTGGGAAGAAGAAGGGAGGACCCAGCCAACAATGTCATGCAGCAATACTTCCTTCCCTTGTGTATGGGTATGCAGTATCCCAGAGAATGTAAACCAATGGATTCTACATGGGTTGAGCTTCTAGAAGCTCAAGCTCAACCAGTAGTGTCAAGTCCTTCCTCCAGTTTTGCCCAGCCCTCACATGGATGTTTCTTTCGAAAAATTTCTACCCATTTTTATTGTCCTGAGTGTGCTGAACAGTCATGAGTCTGTCCCCTGCTCGGGTTTCTAAGACCAAAGAACAGGTGTGGCCACACCCATGTTTTGGGTTTTCTGCTGGAAATGTTCTCTTCTCAGGGCTCTGCCTGCCTTTGCAAGGGTCCACTTCAACAGTCTCCACAAGCCACACATCAGATCCATTTATTGTCTTTTATAACACCTAGCCCTAAATGGGTGGCTGTCATCAAACCTGTCCCCTTGAGCCTCAAGGATTTATGTGGGAGAGGGGGCAGAAAGGCTATGAGAGCCAGAAGTGATGGATGAGTCCCAGGGAAAACAGTGTCTTCCGGACACAACAGGACTGATGCACCGTGAACTCACAGAGCCTATGGAAGCATGTACCAGGCCTGTGCAGGTTCAAGCCAGATGGGGCTCCAGTATTAAGAGAAGCGGATACACGGTTCCATGCCCTAATCAAGAGGCTATTTGCAATTGATATCTGCTAGCAAAGGAGGGGGATCAGCTTTTTTTCCAATGGAGGGTCTATCAAGCGTACTCCAGGACAAGCCCCGCCCAATATAAAATGAACTCCATGTTTTGATTGGTGGTGGTGAGGGGTGATTTTTGTTTCATTTTGTTTTGTTTGGGCACTTCTTGTCTCATTGTTTGCATGTTTTGCATTTTGTTTTTGAGAGAGAGCATGGAGTTGAAAGGGTAGGGA